GAATAATTGCTAACTAAATTATAAATAGATTTGTAATCGACAATGTCAATTGTGAGTGGTCAAGCCGGACGTGGCCTTAATTGACCCAACACTACTTAGCATATTTGTTTGTTTCGCCAACTGTTATTTCAAACCGAAACTATAACTTATAAATTAAACTCTGAAAGTAGGTTTATAACTAGCAATTACCATATATGCAAATCTGTTGCGTATAGTATGACATTAGAACTTTTGTTTCTTTTTAACCCTCTTCAAACTTAGGATAATCCATACACACATTTTTTCCGCCGACGCCAGTATGGAGAAAGGTTAAATAATTACAGGGAAACGTAAAAAAGACACCATAAGCGCTTTGAGACTAGCGCTAGCGCCCAGTTCTCTGCTTTTGTGGCATGAACCCTGTGCTAATCTTCGGATCATCTTGAAATCTAAAGATGTCGTCTATGGACAAAAGATTAAACATGACATAACTTCTAATCTTAAATCTAAAAAGGGAAAAAAAAGGGAAAATAAGTTCCAATCAATTAAAACAGGTAATTCTTTTTAAAGGTAAAATAAATTCCAATCCATTTCAGCGTCTAGACTTTAAAAATCGATTGCTGTATCCTTTTTTCTCTGTGGCGATAGACAGACAGACAGACAACAAAAAAGGAAGAACATAAATACCAACGGAAACTTAACAAAACCAGCGCGGTTTAAGAAAAGCTGTGCCATTGATCTGTTGGTAGTTGTTTGAATACTCCGGAGTTCTTAAGTCTGGGGTTGAATAGAGGAGAGGGGGTATCACTATCTTCATCCCCTTTCACGCTTCGCCCTGACTCGGCCGAGTACCGCTCTAATCCTGTCAACTGTAGGCGCTGAAGCCGAAGATAATAGCGGAGCTAAGGATATTACGGCTTCCCTACAATAGAGAACGATATTAATTGTCGGCTTAACTCGAGGGGGAGCAAGGGGAACGTATTGTTGTGTCGGTAGCTAGTGACAGGGCGCGTCTTCTTATGGAATTAAATCGACTGCGTTAATCTCATTAAATCGCCGGCAGAGCATCTTTAACAAACAAAAAGCTGATATGCTGGCGCGGGTTGGGGAATTAAATTCCCGGAAAAGCTGGCGCGCGCGCGTATTCCCGGAGCTCTTGTCAGGTCGGCAGTTTTCCCCCGCGTAATTGAGATTGAAATCTACCGAGCCCCTTTGTGCGAGAAAGCGAAAACATTTAATGAAAAACTCACACGTTTGGGAAACAGCCGTGTCAATTTCAATCACAGGGCACGACCGTGACCCCATCGCTATTAAGGTCATCCTTAATTAGATTGCGGAAATTCTGCCTGAGTTTCACCCGAAAGGTCATCGGTGATTCGCTAGCGGTACGGAACACTTGTTGAATAAAACTTGACGCCTTCAGAAAAGAGCACTTTGTGTGCTTAGTACACCAAAGATGTTCCAAGATATGTAAAAATGCGAAAGGAGGAAAATGCTTTCAATATATCCTCTAAAACGGCACTTTTTAAGAAGTTTCGTAAAGACTTTGCAGGAATTTTGCGGGGAAAAATTCCTTGAACTTCTTCCCATCTTTCATAGGCAAACCGACAGGCAAAGAAAACGTCATAAGTTAGTATTCTTTGTGAAACTAGACAAACCAAGTATTATAAAACCCATATGTTCGTACATCTACAACTACCTTAAGAAGCGAGAAGTTGAACCTGTACTTAATAGTTCACATCAGTCTGTATAGTGTATGTAGTAAGATATCACTAGTACTTGAAATTTAACTTCTGCTTTTTATGACCTGTACTTAGCTTGTACGAGTATAAACGCACAATAAATGCCTTTCATTCAGTATTTAAAAGCTACGTTTTGGCGTTTTTTTTAGTACAGAGGGACTTTCTCTTATGAAATCTACGGCAACTAACTGACATTAATTTGGATATTGATTGTGCTTCTTGTCAATCTTTACTATTACATTTTGTCTCGGTGTTTCTCTTTAAAGCACTTCACATCTCATCAAAGAGCATTTTAGGTTCCCTTGATCTGATCAAGGTTTTGCTCTGATTTTTGTAAGTTTTGTCATATCTAAGATTGGGTACAGATAATTTGTAATAAGAAGAAAACTTGTCCAGAAATCTCTACGTAGTTTTCCCCTGTATAACATAAGATTTCCTTTTCGCGATATTAAAGTATAAAATGCACATATAAGAGACTCTCAATAATGTTCTTTTTTATAAGTGCGACTTTTTGCGTCGCCATTTTGACTACGTAGTCGAAACCAACGTTAGCTAACATTGTGACGTGACCAATGACATCTCCCGACATAAACTATGTAGGAAAACATTGTCTAGTGACAGCTCCTCTGACCTTTCCACACCCTCCCCGTCACCCTGTCCATCCCAGCTCATTAATATGCATGACTACCCGATCTCATGACGTCACTTGTTTATTTCAACCCACTGCCCCCCCACACAACATAGCATTGACAGAGCGGTTTTTTAGCCAATTTCATACCGTTCTACAACATAATTAGCAAATCTAGAACGAAGATAGGATATTCAATATCTCCTTATATCAGCAGAGTAAAATTTGTATCGAAAATATTTACATTTGAAGATATATTTGGATAAATTTTTCGCTGGACTAGGACTTGTTGTTGACTCGGGGGCGGGGCTTGGAGGATGATCACGTGATTCTAATTTCTAGGATTTCACGCAGCGTAAATTATGTCATTCCTGGCTCCTTCAGGGCGTGGTTAGGAATAAAAAAAAACTCTTGTTAAATTTGTTGTATGTGACTTTTACTTTGAAACTATGAAAATATAATATAGCAGATATATAAAGACCATTTGAAGAGTGGAGCAAAAATGGAATCAACTTTAACATTTAAAAGTTTTGTTTCTTTGAAAACAATAAACTGTTTCCGCTGATTTCTACTTTAACTTTTTTGTTACTGTCCGTAGAATGCTTGAGATGAAATAAATCCATCAAATCTTGCCCCCAAAAGTGTCTAACCTGTGTTTTGATAGCCCCCTGTTCGTACACATCCCTGCAACGTATTGGAAAAATTAAAGAACAATAAGATTAAGTTGTAATCTTCTTGCTCTCGCTCCTGCTGAGTTAACAAGATTATCCTTCAACAAAATCACATTAAATCATTGAAAAACAAAACAACACCGCGGGGTGACCCAAAATTAATTGAGCTACTCTTATTACTCTTACTCGATATTACATTATTGGAAAAAAAAACATGGAAGAAGAAATCAAAATACATTTTTTTACTTCTTCTTCTTTTCTTTCTTTCTAAGCAATGACTTTTTCACCCCTAAAACTTTTGTCAACCCATCGAAACTCAATGGAGCAATTAATTTTACAACGAAAAAAATGGTCACTTTTACGAGTTGTGTTACTATGGACGAGGAAAGGGCTGTAATGAACCCGGTTTGACACATTAAGTCGTAAAACTTTTGTTTTTCTTGTAACTTTTCCCTTTTAATGGACCTCTGTGTCATTAATTATCAGTGATAATCACATCATAAAAGTATTTTAGTTAATGGAGTATATGATTGACCATTTTCACGGCAAATTTATCAAATTGAAGTTTTAATAGAATATAAATCCATTTCTGGCTTTTTTTGTAGTGATCATGTGTACTTACTAATATGTCTTCAATGTTTGCTAGATGAACTTTTGATATAGAGCGAAAAAAATAACGTATTAATCTCAATCTTGAAAAATAACAAAATACAAATAAGCTCGGCTGCGTTGGAATTCCAATTGGTTATGTATAATAATTTTTTAGTCCGTGAGGGACATATTTAAGACATTTGGAAACATTTCCTTTTTTTCACTAGAAGCAAAAAGTTATCAAAAACTTTTACCAAGAGAAATTTGGATTATAGGAATTGGCATGATCGCACAAGAGGTAGAATTGAGATGACATCGCTATAACAATGAATCAAGAAAAATTAGCCGTGAAATCAAAAAACAAAAGTTAACGACAAGAAATCCACACGACAACAAACTTCAAAAGAAAAGGTGACATTTATTAATGGTAACACAAATACGTCAAACACTAAATTTTCACTTAAAAAGTATCAGAGTCCACTTCACGACATTAAAAACTACCATTTTTCGTTTTTGAGCGAACGAAATATTTGAAGAAAGCCGTAAAATAGAGAAAATGCGCTCTTTTCCTCTAACTTTTTTCTGTCACCCGACTGAAAAACAACTCTATTTACTCATTTAATATTAAGTTATTCATGGCGATGTCGACCTCTGACCTTTTTCACAACTAAAAGTGTGAGAATCACACGTCTGGGGCAAAGTGGCCACTTATGCCATAAATACTTTTCCGCTAGCGCCTTGCCTCAATAAAACGCTTAACGCGTCGCGTTGTCTAGAACGCAACCTGCGTTTCAAATTGCCAAAACTGGCGAAAATACACGTTTTCTGATCAAATCTTCCGAAGGGAGACTTGAAGAGGAATTGGAAAATGATGTTTTTGAGGAAAAGTTATCTGTCCTGACGCCAGAAGGGAGACGAATGTAAACTTTACATCTGTGTGAAGCAGACCACACCGCATGATATACGAGCTGTTTCCGCATGCCGCACACACACTGGAGATTTATAACCCCAACCTAACTGCAAACCTTCTCATCTAATATAAACGTCTGGAAAACAGTATAACTTCTTCAAAAAAGCTCACTCTTTTAAACTTTTGTACACTAATTATAAAACGTTTGACCTTTTTTTATCTATCAGGATTTGGACGACTTTCTTGAAGTAAGACATGTGTGGTAACTAGGCGGCAGTGTTAATTACAGGTCTTTGGCGCATGTATGCGATGTTTGTGTCAATTACAGAAGTCAGACCGTGCAAACAAGGGGGATAAACAAGACCAGAGATTGCGCCTCTGGTCTCCGCCGATTGTTGGCTCGGCGGGCGGAACCACACGTCCAACAAAAAAGGGCTTCCGAACCCAGACACATAAATTTTACAACCGGCGGGTCGCCTTTGAAAGGAACAGGACGGGGGTGTTTGCTGAGAAATTAGGGCGATTCAATTAGCGGGTTTGCGACAGGCATCCGCAGATGTCTGCAGTCGGGAATCTGTCGCGCAAAACTTCGCGTTTGGACGAGGAATGTTTCAAGCAGTCCTACTGTTCTCTCAAGTTGTCTCGTTTGAATCAAAACAAGCCCAAAAAAGTAAGAAAAGTCGCCCTCCATGTGTCCACCCGACCTAATATAAATAAAGACGCCCGCTGTCGGGAAGAAAGTAGCCACTATTGGTCCGATGCTGGGTAATTGAGTTTTATGGCTTCAACTTGTGAGGTTGCATACGTAATGAAGTGTCACAGTCTGGAAAGTTTTCCTCGCGTCAGTCGGTGTCCACGTTCCGTCTGTGTGGCCTCAAACTTCCAGGAATAACCGCTCTGTTTTACATTACCGTCGGGTGTAGATACACGGACTTCTTTCAGGACCCGCATTGTGGGAAGGAAGGACTGACGGTCGGAGATGTCGGGTGGGAAAAGTTTTCTTTACACCCGTAGGGGACTTCTTAGGACTGTGTCAAAGACACGCAAGTGCGATTTGAGAGGAAAAGACAACGCCGCATTTCTACGTAAAGCGTGTCTTCTCATCTCAACGGAGGGATGTCGGAAAACTTCGGCGGGTGAGGAGAAGTTTTCACGCGGTCGGAAAGTCTGAAAGTTCCCGTTGCTGGCGGAGTTGGTAACCTTTTGAACTTGGATTGACCGGAGGTTGGCAGGAGTCTTAGGGGACATGGTAAGTTGTCCATATTCATATCTAACACGCCAGTGGTGTTTTGCGTCTGAATCGCGATCTTCTCCCATGTGTTGTACTACATTGTTTGTGATCCATTCGTCGCCCATTGTCTTACTCACATCTCCTATTAGTCCTAATTCTCCGCGGTCATGTCTGGAAACTTGAAAGCGCCCCGCTATCTTTCTTATGCGGGGAAAATTCATGAAAAAACTACACGGCGCCTTTGTCTAGAAGTTGCTGCACTTTGCATATGGTAGAAAAAGAACCTGTAATTTTGTTGTAAAAGTTGAATTATGACCCCCATTTTTTCCAACCGTCTAGTTATTACGGCGTGGTGAATGACTACATTTTAAAGTCTGTCTGTTTCAGAGGAAGGCACGGGTTTGGACGTGGCGGGCTGGTGCCGTGAGAGTGAAGGGAGCTTCTCCCAAACGTCCTCGGCGCTAGACCGTACCTCACGCCGTAAGGATTACCACCGAGGGCCCTTAGAATTTACCTTGAGGTCAGTACCGTTAAGTGTTCCCATGTCGCGTTAGAGATGTCACTTCAGTCTGGCAAGAACGACTAGAAAGAGCACAGAGGGCCGTCTAAGTGGTGGACTTTTCAAACGGCGCCTTTTGACTCCAAAACACGCGGAACGAACTGTCACTTGGCCATTTGCTAGACCCGTCCACCAACCACTTAGAAGTCGGCTGGGGAAATATTAGCTTTTGCATAGCAAACATGGATATCTGTAGACATTAGGGCATGAAAAGTGTTCTTGTTAAATTTGATTTTCGGCCCGTCTACCTTTTTCTTTGCCTCCAAATCGGTAGGAACGCATCCAAACGGTTGGTAATGTGACTTCAAAAATGAAAGAGCGCACAAGAACGATGTATGAGATGGTCGATTTGTAGCGCTTTGAGTGTTGGAAAATTTTGAAATTGCAAAGCATTTCTACGAGTACAACATGTGATTTGTTCATTGTCTTCAGGAAAACTTGTTTCTTAATCCTGTTAATTTGAGACCTTTTAGTGAATGGAGATGGCCACAAATTGCCCCTTGTGTGACGGCGATGTGAACAGAGATATCTATGTCCGTCTGTCGCCGGCACATTTGCCTGACAAACAGGGGACAGAAGGACAGTTTTACCGGGCGTTGTCTTGCGACATCCATGTTTTTGTCGCGATTTTAATTTGAACTAGTCGTATGGATGAGCGCGGCGACATAAAACGCCGCACGTCCATTGCACGCGCCGACTTTGATCAAGCCCTGTGTAATTCCATTGTCTATATGGATCAACCCGCCATGGATACCTGAGCGCTCGGGGACTCAGAATGGCTTCCTCACACAGGGGAATACACACGTAGTCTTGAAATTAAATTCTCACCAAATTTGTCCCTAAACTGCCCAAAATTACTCCAACACCACAAAAGGGTAATTTTCGACAAGTTGTAAAGCTGTTATGTTGTTGAACAAATGGAGAAATTGCGTGAGAAAGTCGAGCTGTAGTTGTGTAGTGTGTTAACAATTGCCCGTGTCATGTGCGGGTATGGTAGTGTACGCAGCCCGCCTTCCCCCCTCGTCTTGCGATGGGCCTGTCCCTCTTTTGGCCTGTAGTGAACTCTGAGAGCGAAAAGGGAAACCCCAAGCCCAAAATAAACACCAGAGGAAGGCTTCCCCCCCACTCAACCCTGTCAAAGAGAAATTGATGACTGTAGGTCGAGAACTGAAACCTTACGTGTCAAGGGTCAAACGTGAGAGCATCAGTTATACTTAGACAATCGCTACTACAATATGTCAGAGTCTCGGTACTGAAAGGTCGCCCCGTGCCGTGTTAGACTAGAACTTGAACGGTAGCCAAGTCGCCAGGCGGGCTATCTGCAGGTGCACGTTACGTGTGGCTGTATGAGAGCGCCTGGCACTAGACAGCTACTTGTGTTACATACAGATAAAGGTGGCAGTCTCACGGGGTTTCCCGTGCACATCTGCTACCCATGTACTATGTACCTGTTCATGTTCTTATCACTCATATGTAATGAGGCTATACGCAGGGCCTGGGATGGATGGAAATTTAAGTTTTTTTTCCTCCCGAACACTGTGAACTAACACTGCGCTAGCTTGTTGATGTTTATTATGATGTTGTGATGTTATGTAGTAGTAAATATTGTACATGTTGGCACGCCTAGGGCGGGGCGTGTGCAGAGGTTATCGCCTCTTGACCTGGCCTAGCGGCCGGCACGGGTATTGAACCCGCCGCCCTGTAACACCAAACACTCCGTTAAACGAGTGCTATTTTTTACTACTAACATTTTATGTAAGTTAACCTGATACACGTTACTTGTTCTATAGCTGGATATACGCCAGCGTGCTGGGCTACCCAGCTGCCTGCTTACAGCAGGATTTATCACAACCGTGATATGATTTTCCAATTTAGTCGTTAAAACGACATATTTTATCATAGGCACGTTGCCCCCGTCACTTAACGTAAGTCGGGCGGCTGATAGTATTATGTCGTGATTTATGACTTGTGTGTTTAACGTGCCATTGCCTATGCACACTTACATGCTTTGTTGTAGTTTATGTATTTCTTAACGATGTATTGATGCAAAGCTATTGGGCCTAACACATCTTTAAAAGGGACGTTAAAAAATCGCCCAATACGCTGTCCCAGTTATGATATAATCTATGTACTACTAACACTTATGTTACACCGTAACCACTTGAATACGTTATTGTAGATAAACCAGTCGGCAAACATGTGCTTGAGTTGTAGTGCTACGCGCACTCCTTGTGTACTGTTGCCCCTGGTTTTTAACACTTAGAACAACATTGTGGCTTTAATTGGAGGCTTTAAAAGGCTGCTTATACGCTCTTTGATAAGTCAAACTCCTGGCCACAGTGTCTAAAAGAGCGCCCCAGCCTTCCGTACTATCTATTATGTGCCTTCATTTGTATTGTTTGTCAGTTGAGCCATTCATACGATGCTTACGTATTTACGAGTCACTCTAGTTTTTCATCTAATTAGGTCGTACAGTGAACACGCCCTACTATCGGGTGGTGTCTTGTTTACACATCCTAAGTATGTTTTCCAGCGTAGTTGTGATGTTTTAGTCAGAGTGAAGTTTTCTCACGACAACATCTGCCCCCAAGAGTCGAATAGTTTCATGTTTGCGACGTTGTTTTGTGCGGGGGCTAGAGCTGTGTCAATAGTGGTCCGGTGGCTATTATTTAGATTGTCCACCGTAACGGCCACTATTGAATATTCCGGGCTGACCGGAGGATGACCCCACGAGTGTCAGTCGCTCGGAACGTGTTTCTGTTGTTCAAGCTAACAGCAGCACTGTGCAAAATGCACGGCCTCGGGGCATGTTGGGGGGCTCCATGTGGCCAACCTTAGACCGTAGTGTTGTCTGTGTTGTGAGAATAGATTACAAGTCGGTACACCCGGCACGTTATGTTGATTTTCACAGCGACTTTCTGTATGCGTGATGTGATATTTCTTGTAGTGAGTAATGTGGGCCATATTGCGCGGCCCTGGAGTGCCGTACCAAATCGGCTATTACCCAGTGAGGGGTGGAAATTCTCACCTCAAATGTATGATCACATTTACTAACCCGTATGTCCCGCATCTTGTGTTTTTTTATGTTGGCCCATTGGGCTTTATATTGCGGGTTTAGCTTATGATAATGCACAATTTAACCCACGTATTTATCATAGCTTGTATTTAGTGTTTTAAATGATGTATGATGTTAATCCAGGGTGTACCTTTCTGTACCGAGATTTAAAGACTTTGATACATATTTTTTAAAAAATTCAATACACACACTGGACTTATATCTGTGTGTATAATAAATCATTTCCAATGTTATACTTTCTTCCTCCCACGTTTGAAAGCAACTCCTAACTTTCGCGAGCCAAGCTTTGGAAAAAGGCCTTATCCCAAAGCCACTCCTTTTAAATTTGAGATGAAATAAAATTATTCCTAATATTTTCAGCAATTTATGTTGATATGAGAACAAAGAAGTTTTGCCAAGGAAGCACCAAGCGCGACGAAGCCATTCTGTGCTCACTGAAGAGTTTGATCTGAATTGATTTAGTTATTTAGAGAGGAGTAATAGCTCCTGAGTAGACGTTGATGAAATTATGACACCTCTACACGGGATGTTAGATAATGTAGCAGAGCTTCTCTAGTCGTCCCAGTGCTCTGTGTCTTCAGATGTAAAAGATTTTCACGGTGGTAAAGATTAACCAGTCCTGTTCGCCTGCATGTGTCAGTCAAAGCTCTCTCCTCGTGCTAACTATATTGTCTCTCACACTCTCTCACAGCAAAGCTGCTCTGGGACCCCACATGTGCTGCTGTAGGAGTCCTCTCTTGTAAGGTACGTATAAAAACAAGACAGGATCCCCTCCCCTCACATCAAACATGTAGGAAATATAAAAGTACAAGTCAGAGGCTTGTTACCGTCACCCCATGACCTGACCTTCCCAAAGTCACAGCAATTAATAATGTTGTACGTTGATACCTGACAAGATAGGTCACCCTGCTACAATAACGGAAGCAACCTCGTTAGCACAGCCACATTTACCAACCCAGCTTACAGATTAAAAGTCACTTTAAATTCTCTAGTTAGCTGGTAAGTAGTAGCAGACACTTGCTGTAAAAGTTATAGAGGATAAAGCTATCATGATAAAGATAAAGTCTAATCTATGCACCATCTCTGAATAAATATGGTAAAGGAAAACAAACAGGAATATCTTAATATGCGATTGCGATTTATTTCGTTTTTTCTCTCTCATCAAGAATTCACTACTATCTTAGTGATTTTGGCTCTAAGAAACATACATAACAATACTGTGCTTGGAGTCCTGCCGTCAAAAACATTATTTTATATCACAAGCCACTGTACAATCGAACCTTCACGAAAGAGAAGTCTTGAAGTTCGCTTTGAGAATTTTTACCCTGTTCTCCGATTCTTTGATTGTTAAATTATACTTCTCGAGATATGTACACAAGTCTACATCCCTCAACTCTTTCATCATACAAACGTTCTTTCACTCATACAAAGTAATAAATAACGATATAAATATAGACAGAACCAACTTGACGATATTTCTCACCTGTATAACTTAAAAAAGAATATTCCACAAATGACATGTGAGTTCTAAACGTGGGGTGGGGGGTTTGGAGGGAATGGAGAAGAATGTTGGTATAGTGAGTTCAGTCTTACGTCGACTTGGACGGGCTATCTGCTCCGGCCGGTGACCCACCACTACCCGGGGTTGAGAAGCCGTTCTCTTTCTCTCGTTTCTTCTGTTTCATCCTACGGTTCTGGAACCAGATCTTGACCTGAGTTTCGTTGAGGTTGAGGGCGGCGGCGATCTCGACTCTCCGTGCCCGCGTGAGGTACTTGTTGTAGTGGAACTCCTTCTCCAACTCCGTCAGTTGTTTCGTCGTGAAGTTGGTCCGCCCGTTGTTGGGTCCAGAAGTCGTGAAACCATACTCCCCGGGCTTCCCTGGAGTAAAACACAACACCAAAACTTCACCTCACAACAAGAACCTCTACTCAAGGTGCTAAATCTTACCAGGAAACACCGAGAAATTTTGGGTGTGCTATCAAATTTTATGTAATCGTAATTTCATGCATAAGGCAGGAGCCCCGTATTAGGCACAGCTTGCTCCACCAAGGCATGGACGGTTTGTAGTACAAACACAACTTGTAAGCTGTCATACTTAGCCAAACAAAAGCCAACGTCTGAATACAAATGTTAGAGAGATGTAGTTAGTACGACTGACGAAGTCTTGGTTACGCCGATGGTTTTAGACCGATACTACGAGCGAGAACAGTCGGGGAGGCACACGCGCCTGGTCCGTAAACATGTGCGCGCGGCCCCGCTGACTAGGGTAGTGGTAGCGGAGGTTTGTAGGGCAGAGTAAGGACAGTTGAACATACCTGTTCTGGGAGGGTTACGCTTAAGTTTCATCCAGTCGTATGTGGCAACAGGGGGTGACGGGGCTGGGGGGTTACAGGTCGTGGAAATCATGGGGTCCTGCCCCGTGTGATGGTGCATGTATCCGTACTGTGAGTCCAAGGGTGGCGGGGCCACTGTCCCGTTCATTCCTGAGTTGTACGACGAGTAAGACCCGGCGAGCTCTGCCCCAAAACTCCCCGAGTACATAGCAGCGTGGTTGTTCGTCCCGTAACCATTGCTCATGTGGTGGCCGCCAGGATGAGGGTAGTGGTTATACGAGTACGACGTAAAATTCTGCGGGTCGCTGTTAGGCATGATAACCGGCGGGTCGTAAGGCGACGGGCCCGGTACGGGGCCTGGCCCTGGCCCGGCCGACGGCGGCAGCTGCCCGCTCGGCCCCATCGTAACGTGTCGGTCAACATTGTTCATCGCGCACGACTGGTAAGCGGGGACACCGTAGTCTTGGCCATAGCTCCTCGGGGAGCAAGTGTTTTGGTCGCCGTTACACAGAGAGTAGTCCACGTACGAGTTCATTCTTGCCGTGTCCATTTGCTCCATCTGTCAAGCAAACGTTTCGATTTCGCCTGTCGAATTTGTCGATAAATGGTGCTAAATTGCTCACTTGCTCTTCACATAGCCTGACACTGATATGGTTACTTTGTTACCCACGTGACAAACAGCGACCAATCAAAACAGCCAGAGCCTATTTGGTATGTTTATCAAGGTGATCCATCACCGAGCCTGACATCTAAATCACTGATGTTAAATTTATCAACCTAGGGCAAACCAGTCGCAAGCCGGTAAATTTTATGCCAAGTTCAGTGATTGTGCCGTGATTTTCCAGCGGTATGGGCTGAAGCGTACTGTAAAGGAGAGACGAAAGTCACCGGGACAGAGAGGACGGTCTCTCGGAGGACCCTACCAACGCTCCGGCCTGTATTCTACAGGTAAACCCCTTTTTTTCAGGGCTAGAACTCTGGCGACGATAGAGCTAGGTCTTGATCACGATCATTGCATCTTCAACAGGAATGGGGGAGGGCGGTAACCGTATAACAACTCCCGACCACTTCTTGAAATTTTTACAGCTTCTCTACAATATTCAGATAGTACTTTACAACTTTCAGGACTGTATAGAGTTGAACAGAGTAGCGTCAGTTTTTTATTTGAGTCGCATGAGACCAGGATTTATTAAATATTTGCTGTATCCCAAGCTCTTGTATAAAGAGGCTTGCGGTCATATCGACAGAAAGGCTTACCGAAAACTGACTCGTGTTTGGGACGTTAGTGGTTTGTTAGGAGCAAGAAATCAAGCTGGGAAATAGTCTAAAAGTTGGACCACTTCTTCTGAATGTTGGGAGGGATTTGTCCCCAAACAGGACAAGATTCAGGGGATCTGGTTGGCCGATTTATGCTCGAATCATCGCCGCCATTACAAGGGTCGCGTGAGGGGTCACCAGTACTCGGCCTGCCGAAGACCCTACTACACGTTGGCCACAAAACAACACGTTTCAGTCCTTTTTACCACGAAAAGTCCAAACTTCTCAACCTCAGTCAGAAATTAATTACGTTCCTTTGATCCCTGAAAAAAGTGTTACTTTGGGGTTGGCAAGCTTTGGGTCGGGCACATTCATGCATAATTACGTGCGGGTTGAAGTTTTGCATGAAAAAGCTGTGGTGGAGATTCGGTAGGCCTTTGTGACACAGATCCTACCGCCCAAGGGGCTACAATTTTCCCCTCACCAACCATATCCCGCTCTCTGTTTTAAAATGTCAACCGTTTCCTTCAAACACTCCCCCAAACCGTCCTTCTAACGCTCTTTCTACACCACACCAGCTGTGGATATCTTCCTACTGCAGCGAAAACCTATGCATGCTTTCGCAGTATGCATATTGTTACAACAACTCCAGAAAATTCACACAAAAGTGCAGGCTTTTTTTTTGTTCCTCTGATTTGCAAATGTTGATAACAGCAGAGACAATTGTCTAAACTCACACCAACCCGCCACGAATAATAGGCGACAACGAGTTGTCGATCTTGTTAATTTTCCCTCACTAAACAACCTTGTAATACACAAGATAATTCTTCTCTTTAGCTGGCGGTGATACCAGGGTAGGCTCTACATAACAAAGACTAAAGTGCTTCTTTCGTAACCGCCGGAATCTTGAAACACTATTATTTATCTGATAAACTAAAAACCGCACGCTGCCTTTATTCTTCCCATAAAATGCTCAAATATGCAGCAAGTAAATCCTACAAATTTTCAATTGTTTTTCGCACAGGATTTTGTTGTATTATCATGAATGGAATGCTTCTATCATACAAAAAAGGGCTAAAAATTGTATCAATTCTTCTGCACTTTTCCCTTAACTAGGTTTGAAAAAGGAGTTTTCAAGTGCTAATTGACATAACACCCAGAACAACATGCAAGCACACGTTTTATCAGTGTGCATTGATCTGATGGTACTGAAGAAAATTACGTTTGTAATGGGTGGCAGTATACATAATTAAGTAAGAACAGATTCTTGAATACAGAAGCCAATAAGATCACAATGTAACCGAGAGCTTGATTCCCTTTTACTCTAATCAATACAAAAACTAGTACCAACGTTTTTCAGACTTAAAATTGTAGAAAACCACGCACTTGTAGACAAATTTGTTGGTAAAACAGAACAGTTCAAATTTGAGCACAGCTAGAAATATAGTTTAAAAATATTAAGAATTCTTTCGAAACAAAACAGAATTAATACAACGTCATGGCTTCACGTAACAAGTTTTTGTACCATAATCACACAGATCTTTTTTACCTTTCCATGTATTTTTGCACATAAAAGGCATGAATTTTTATTTTCCACACGATTCCTTGTAGACTGAGTGAAAGGCACCCCTCCCCAGGTCTGTCCATGGCCGGTTTCCCTACATTTCTAAAGGAATTCTGTATTTGTTGATATTCTAAACACCCCCATGTGTTCCCATGTGCCTGGAAGGCTTGAAAACAACACGTCGGCCGACCTTATTGCAAATATTGAGATCGACATGGCTTGAACTCTGACATGACCCTAGTGTCGATAAGACCTGCCCGGAAGCGAAGTTGGCCTCAGTGCTGGTTAGAAAATGTATTCAGCCGGCCATGCTTCATTTATTTCACTCAACCCGCTACCCCAACTTCCAAGCTTGCAAAATTCATGAAGTAACAATCCCTTTTCAAAAACCTCAGAATATCGCTAACTTATTCACACCTCGCATAAGGATGTGAGAGTTTGAAATATACATTGGGGAATATTTTAGAATGTTTTTGTGAGGTGTTTCTGGTAGCTCTCTCCCCAGCTGTCCACAGTGTTGACATGTTTTGGTGTCTACTACACACACGCCTGTGGTTCAGAGTTCGCCACCCCCGTTTGAGGTTAGGATATATGGCAGACTAGGTCAAGTACAATGCCCCTGGAGTCATTCGCAGGACGTCACCAAGTGTAGTAGAGTTAGATGAATAGCTATACCTACACCGATTCGTCTGGGTCACTTGCTACAAACGTTCCAACAATGAGTCGGCGAGTGTCGATCTGTGGAGCGATAGGAGAGGGTGATAGATGGGGGAAGGGCTCACGGTCGACAGTGTTTTGGCAGCTAACGGGTGTGTTTGTTACCACTCAGCTGTGTACGGGGTTTATTATGCCGCCATGTGCGCGGGCAGCCGACCACGTTGTGAAAGTGTGTATGGTTGTATTATTCCCTTACCAAGAACGTTTCAGTTAAACTCAAGTCACCAATTTGAACCACAATAGAAAAAAATGTAAAAACAACACTTTGCAACATGCTGGCTTGTCAGGAAATTAAAATCGCTATAGTAAACATAAACTGAACATTTGAAATTTTAAATTTGGAAAATAAAAGACTGTATAAGGTATCATTTTTGGACACCAATTTCAGTTGGATTACAACATAGTTATGAGTTGGATACAGGATATCCTCTAGTGTAGTATGGTTTGCATGAAATTACGGTGGCACACGTATTCTATCTCATGACCAATTCAATTGCAAATTTAGTTTCTGTTATAGACAAAGGTGTTATACGTTGTAGATCCTAACATACTATCAAGAGACTAGTTCTTTTTTGAATGTATAACGGTCGTCAAGTAACGCATACCTAGGCGCCATATTGTATCTAGGTATTCTTGCTTCCAGGTTTATAATAGCTTTTGTTACCCTCGCTTAGGTATGTGACCAAATACAATATTCCAAAAAGGTCAGCGCATTTCTGAGTTTAAAAAAATTATCATCATTCGCTTCTAATTTAGATACACATTTCTCACATGTATAAAATTGAAACCAATCGTAGGTTAACGTTACAGCCTCGAAACTTTAAAAAAAAATAACCTAAAACTGCAAAATAAATTCTCGAATTATTTGATTGTAGGACAAATTTCATTGAATGATTGGTAAAATTTGTGCTAACTTTGAAGGTACAATTTTTATCAATGTTCTATTGTGTGTACGGAACAAGTCCAGCCATAATTTGAAATATAACCTACTATTATTGATAAAGTTTCGCATGGTTAAACCATGTAAAAGGCAGCATTGTCTGGGCTTTACATATGTTCCCTTTAGAAAAAAATATTCATAATGTTATGATAGCTTCCTGCTACTTGATGTAATATGACATAAAGGTGTCAAAATTGTTACTGAAAAAATTGCATATTATACCTACACTGAGCATTAACATCGTCAGTCAATTTATAACTTCATTCTAATCACTTAAAACAGTTTAACGACAATAAATGAAATAATTTTGTAACAACAATTTTTGTATTGTTACACTCTTACAAAAGTAAATGTTTGACCTCTCGAATTCAATTGAATTTTTTCTGCATTCAAATATTCAACATTTTTTCTGAAATATGCATTCAAATATTCAACATTTATTCCAAAACAGAATTTTTTAATTTTTCTTTCAGTGAAATAATGAAGTTTTCCTACACCTATTTATTATGATTAACACATCCATCAATGTTGTCAAGACAAGTGTATTGATTTATTGACTACATTATTGATCATAACAATTTTGTTTTCATGTATTTTTCAGGTCACTTGGTGGAGTGTAGCAACCTGGCCGCACTGGACATCCTTGCTACAAGCACTACTACAAGCAACTGGCTACCTGGACATTATCATATCTAAATCGTACACTATATATCTATACAGAAAACGCTTTGAAAATCATTTTTTGAAAATCCTGTGTCCATCAGCTTCATGATTTTTTTCATGTTCTATTTTGAAAAAAAAAACTTATTCAAAAATGTATTCCAAATTATATTTCCAAGTAAGAAATCCTTTGTAAACTCATTTTTTAAAAATCCTGCCTCCATCAGCTGCATAATTTTGAAGAAAACGTATTCCAAATTAATTTCCAAGTATATGCCCCATCAGCTGCATAAGAAAAAAAAAGTATTCCAAATTATATTTCCAAGTATGGCTGAAAAACTTGGAACAAATGGAATTGAAATTGAATTAAAACAAGCTTTCAAAAATACGTTAAAGTTTTTGTTTCCTTTTTATTAGATCTATTTAATTACAAAGTAATGTCAAAAAAGATAAGTACCCATATCTCACATCGTTTTCAGAGATTTAATATAAAAGCGGTGTTGGAGTATATTGTATAACAAGAGGGATATAATAAATATCTATTGGTGTGTATAAACCTGTATCGACTTTTATATGTACATAAGTAATGTATTATATGACAATAAATATGATAAATATGGTACATTCTTCTTGTGTTTGTAGATCTAAAAGTGCTATATGCTTTATCTCAAACAATCGTGAAAGTAGTGTAATAACATTGATATAATTAGTTATTAATGCAATATGATAAATGTGGATCATTCCTTCTGTGTTGTATCTAGATCTGAAAGTGCTACACGTTTTATCTTAATCTTGTAAACAACGCAATGATATAAATATGATAAGTTATAAACGCAGTAATATGTTTATACAACGTTAGAGTAACCAGGTGGGCACTTTCAGGTCAAAGGTCAGCCCATGTCAACTTGTCAGGTCACCCATGGTCAGTTGTTTACAACAAGGTCAAAGAAGGTCATCACTTGAGAAGTACAGAATACGGCCTGAAAGTTTTACAGTATAGGAAAAGAATGGAACTGTTAAGATGAAGAGAACATAATGTCCTCCTAAAACTTTTATGTGAAATGGCCGCAAACCTTGAAACCCCCCTCCCACCACAAAGGAAGTATGCATATAAATAAAACCATGTACAGGTGATGACAAGTGGTGCTCAAGGTCAAGTATATACAATAAACAGGAAGAACTGGTTTAGTTCAAGGTCAAATGGAACAGGTGTATACAAGCTCACAACGCTCGGTAGGGGAAACAACGCTTTACATAGCTGTTTGGACAGGTGTATTTGTGGTACTTTCCAATTTTTGGCGTTTTTAAAGGCGTTTTTATATCGGGTTATCTATTTAGCAGCCAAACTGGGCTGGCGCACCAAAATTTTTAGGACAAGGAAGAAAATCCTATAAAAAAAACTTAAAGCATATGCCTAAACCTCTACCTGGAGAGGATATTCATGAAAAAAAAACCCAGGAACTACACAAAAACAGACGTAAAAGGTTCTCTCTGTAAGCACAGGAAAAAGTTGCTTAGCGTATAATATTTAATATTAAAATTAAATACAGTTATATTGTTTCTTATCATTGACAAGTATAGTATATCACTCATACATGGCAAGAAAAAATATTATAGTGTTTTACCACTTATACACGATAATTCATAAAGAGAACCCTTAAACTTTGGAGAGTTTTAAAACGTTGAACATACTATACGACATAACTGTTCTAGTCTATACATGCTACGTATGCCTGATACAAAATTATTCTCTGATTATCTTACCTATGTCTAGAGTCTTCGAAAAAAATGTACAATATTTAATGTTTATAAAAGGCTTAAAAATAGTCACGAATACTAAGCGATCGGATACTATGGCTTCTGAAAGTGAACTAAATGCAAAGCGAGGCTATTATACAAAATCTATAATAATATTTATATGCACAATTTACATATTTCTGCCGTAACCTGTACCGCTCAACAGTTTTTTAAAACATTTTTGTCCAATTTCTGTGAATAAGAGAACTTTGCCAATGTAGGTACGTGTATTTAATATCTCTCTACAAAAGTTGACTCTTCATTCTGGTCGTGTATAGTGGTCAGTCCACTCCGTCCATCTGGTTTGCTGCCCGTCTTAGTCCACCGGGGCCTGGTCACCCCTGGGGCCGGGGACAGGCTACTGTACCCCCGTCTGGGGAACCTGTCTCCGCCCGGTCACCATCTGCCGGCTCAGCGGTAGCCCCCGCTCCCTGCACCGCCTCACTCCGGCCCTTCGTATCCCTCCTCTTTTGTCTCATTCGTCGATTCTGGAACCAAATTTTCACCTGACGTTCGTTTAACTCCAAAAAGTTGGCGATCTCCTTCCGCCGTGGTTTACACACATATCTGTTGTAGTGGAACTCTTTTTCTAACTCCAGAAGTTGAGTATTGGTGAAAACTGTGCGCAGTCGACGTGAACTAGTCACATGGTCGGTGGGTGCGATTAAATCGTCTGCTTCTGTGAGAAAAGAAAAGAAAACATCAAAATGAATATTTTCTTGTAATTTTTTTCGAAGAAATCCTTTGTGGTTCTCAGAAATGGTTTTAGGAAATCGAACACTGCCGGACATATGCTTGAGTTAGCGGCTGCACTCAGCCATCCCACATGGTCGCTTCTCTTTTCCCATCTGTCGTTTTTGCCAACTTCCAAAGACGACAGAAGTACTTAGAAAACACAAGGCCCGACCCTCTTTCTGTACGCGAGCTGGTAAAATCTTTCAACACTTGGGCTCGTGATTGATAAAATGGTTTAGTGTTAGAAGCGAAAAGGTCAAACCGCACTGTCAATCCAAAAAAAGGAAAACAACAACGACATTATGAAACTTCAACTTCTCACTAGTACACAAACAGTAGTAGAGGTTGTACCTTCAATGTTGTCGACAGGAGAGCGTGTTCGGGTGGATTTTTTGAGTTTCACCCAAGGAAAGTCTGCGATGTTGGCGGGCTGAGTTGGCGAGAGGTCAGAGTTCAGCTGGAGGCAAGTTGTAGGGTGGAGAGCAGGCCACGTCTCCCCGTCCTCAGCCGTCCTGTCGGTGATTGATGGGTTGAGAAAGTCTCCACTGATAGGTAGACAACCCATGAATTCCTCCAACGAAGGGTGCGAATTTATAAACCCACTTTCCCGTGGAGCATCCATGGTTAAAAATCGACAATATAAAATCCCTTTAGGAAGGGATAAGTGTAAAAAGTTTCTAGCCACTTGGGTTCTTATTTCGGATAGTTGGACCCTCAGGCGTGCTATGAAACATCACTAGTCGTCAGCAAGAAGGGAGCTGACAGTTGAGCGATCATGTGATCTTATCTGGCCAATGGTAGGCCGTCTAGGGAATGTGTAGTAAGTGAGAAATGCGTTGTTTTGATCCATACTTCGGTAAGAAACGTCCCTTCTCTTTGAAAGTGAAGCCGAAATCTCAATCCACTCAGGACCGAACTCTAAAGCAAATGGTAACTGTTTGCCTACTAGTGATAAGAATCAGGCAAAACTAACACAGGGCACAAGAAGAGTGGATTTTAAATGGATTGTTGGATGTTTTGAGGTCATCACATACATGCCAACTTGTCAATACAAGCGGTCGCACCTCACCAATCATTTTGTGCTGAAACCCTGACAGGTAATTTGGACAAAAGTCATTATCTGGTGTGTCAAATACATCTCAAAGTCACGAGAGAGGGTAGGAAATATATAACGTAGGAAACCCGTGTGGTTTTGTTATATCTAAGGTTTGAACGCGCCCGGTGTATGGAAGACGGGTGGAGCGCTTTTATCAAGAAACTCAAGTTTGTCAATGCAGCTGTCATGTCAAAGCTCCGTCTCCGGTGCTTACAAGTGCTGCGAAAGCATCAAATGCAGCCTGGGTGCCAGGGGTGAAAGACGCTAGCTTCCCGGGCCGCTACAAGAGCCTCCTCTAAGGTAAGACCTTCCTGCACGGTACATGTACAGTTCCCTCTAGACTCTACACCCAAGAGTACCTCTATTTGACTTCCAGAATGAAAATCGGAACATTTGGTCGGCTAGGGACGCTATGGCGGAAAAATGCTAGGGGCGAGTCGGTCTACCGAATTCCTGGCGAAGGCATTTGCAACGATTGGGACCTCTCCAAAAATCGATGACGAAAGAAAGCCCAACATTTCCATCTGTCAGGGAGAAAACCAACAGGGAAACCATTTCGTTTGGGCTAAATCAGCGAAGTTTGTATTACAGGACAGAAGAAAGGAAGGGTCGCGGCCTAAGTCGTGTTGTTTGTCGGTAACCGGTTCTACCTTCCTGCCAGCCAACCGTGGGGTCATCTAGAGTTCACATTTGAATATATTCAAGCCGCCGCCGATTTAATCAAATTTCGGCCACAAATTGGTTCCCCAGTCCCCCCGAATCAAACCTACATGAATGGGAGACTGCGTTTTTGGTTATGAATATGACTTGAAAGGCGTTTGAGTTGAAAATAGCGGAGAAAGAGATGTGTGCATATTTAAGAAGGCGGGTTGTTTTGTAGGAACGCTGTCGTATGGGCCTCTCTTCTCACAAGTACAGGAAATAATCGAGACTAGTGTAAGCACCGGCTGGTGAAACCGTCTCTAGCAGCAGAAAGTCACGCTTGACATCCTAAGCCCACAGACACAGCTCTAGTTAGAAAAATAAGTTTGTATTTGCCGAGTCGGCCCGGTTTTTCCAAGCCGGTGCAAACGAATATAAGGCCGAACGTCTTCTGACAGCCCAACGCCCCGGTTGAATACTTAGTTCTATTTACTCGTGTCATCTCCCTTACTCCTAATGAAATATCCCAAGCGTCGAAATCCCTACATGATGGAACAACAGCTAGGCGTACCTTCTAATTTTCCTACGACTCACAACATAATTGGGCTGTAAAAATTAGGCTACAGTTTAACACCACTGCGGCGGACTGAAATACTAGTATGCCATCCCGGAGTGGTAACAACATAGTTCTCTCAAAAATGCCGTCCAAAGTAACGGTGTCTATTTTAAAAAGGGTTTGGCTTTGACTAGACTTTTAGGTATGGGGCAATAGGAATAACATGTGTGGATCTTAGCAACAATGTGTGAGAAAAATCCGTGCATGGATAAGAAGGAAAGAAAAAACGTTTCGCATGTAGTGGTTAGATCTGGCCACGACTCTTCCATCATAGCTGTCAAACGCAGTTACATAAAAGCTACATCGTGATACTGGCTCATCACCCAACATTTGGGGGCCTTAATTTCCACCAACATCTCCCCGGTAATGAATGACTGTTGGATTACTTTTCTGTGACTCCACCAGACCCCGGTAAAACGTGGAATCGATTTCTGGTGACTTGTGTTTCTATGAAGGACGATAAAAGGACAGGGTACATAAAAATTGCCAACACCAAAGACGCCATTTTAGATTGAACCGGCGAAGAGGGTGAAGCAAACCCTAACCACTAATACGGCTTTCTTTCCACAACTCGCTTTAAATTAGTACGTTAATTGCTAGAATTTCTTAGCAGGAAATTTAATTTAAGTTTTAATTGGTAAAAGAAGCGTGATTTTGCATCTTAGTGGGGAAAAAATCTACCTTGTTTCAGTTTTGATTGTAAAATGCAACTGATAGAATTGTACACTGAATTCCCTATTGGAAGTATTTCAAACCTTTTACGAGTCGAAGATAAAAAGACAGATGCCAGCCCACTTATCCCTACAAATGATGGGATATTCTCTGACACAGAAAACTGACCGTTCTTCGATTTTTTACTAGCTGAAGATTTGGGAGTAGGTTAATCAGAATCAGAGCTGGTCAGTTTGCAACCGACCGTTTCGGCCACTCCGGCCAGGCCATGATTGTGTCATTATCTGGTCTAATAAGTCTTGAAGAATCCTATAATGAAATCCTTTGGTCCAGTGTCCGAAATATTAATCTGTTATGAGAGCGTATTTGCCGCCTTGTTACGATCTGGATCGAAATCTACATGACCCTAAATGAGGTATGGGACGATACTGGCACAGGCCTTGTTGATCAGTGTTGGAGTTTTTTTTGAAAAGTCAATTTTAGTTCAAACGTGCGAGTAGAAATTAAACGAAATATCCGGCCTGACCCCCCGAATTGTGTTGATTGTGAGCTGTCTGCGCAGAAAGTCATCCATCTTCCGGGCTCCGCCAGAGAATTGTGACAAGACAGGTCTAAGACGGATGACAAGAAAAACCGTGTGTTTCAACCTGAAGATTTCTGTCAATTTCTCCCCCCTATACTCAACTCCAAACACCGTCCTTTCAACACAAGAACTCTATTAACCCCTTAAACATCCACCATGTATAGCAAGGGTCAAATACGTCCAGATCTGGTAATATTTTCAAATTTAGCTGCAGGGAAGCTTGCGAAATTATTCAAAATTTGTCCCTAGGTTGACCCTTGCTATGAATATCGGGTTGGCGGACCCCTACAATTACTGGCCAGCTTTGTGACTGCAAAGAAAGGCTAGTTCTGGTGCCCGTACGGTCCGAAGCCTTCACACAATGTTCTTCTTCACAAGAACAGTATACATAAAACCAGTTACAGGAACTTAAAAGGTCAAATTATTAACTCTACGTGTTATACTGTGTGTTTATATTGCTTATATGTGTGTCTTTATACTGTTGAGTGTGTACAGTGTGTATTCCTTTGGCTTGTTATTTTCTTGGTGTTTTATTTGGGGATTTACAAAGTTTTATTTCTCGTTTTACAGATCTCTTGTGGAGGGCTCAGTCTGTGTGCTGTAATACATGGAAGACTACTTTGACACAGATAAAGGTAACGTGTTGAGGGTGTGATATTGTGAATAAAATTTCTTTTTAGTACACAGAATCCTTGGTTTCCTTTTTCTTTCTTTCAACCCCCCTCCCCAACAAAGGTACCCATGCTGGTTTTAGTAGTGGGCTAGGACGTAACGGTAGTAGCTTCGATGTAAGTAACTTTTGTTAAGGCGAGGAAAATTTAATTTTCTCCTATGTAAAAGAGCAGGTTGCAGAGTTCCCTCCCCCTCTATAGCTGAGGAAATAAATGCACATAAATAGAAGACAATCAGGGTGCAATATATTCACGTTATTCTCCTTTAATTTCACAGTTCCCTACATTTTTTTCTCCGAGAACATTTGGTTGTAATGTAAAATGAGCGGATGTGACTTTGACACCGTGTGCCCTCGCCTTGTAACCCGTGTTCCAGTCAAACCGTGCCGTTGGAGATCAGTTTTCTCGGGGTCGAATTTTATTTTACCAGGCCTGGAAATTGACAACGTCTGTTCTAAAATAAAAACAGACAGGTAGACGGAGTGGTGTAAGTTTGAAGGCGATGTGTCCCAGTCAGTTTTTGTGTACATTCGGGTTCTTCAAGGAGAGAGCACTACAGTGGGTCAGATCGGGAACCCACACAAATAAAGACTGCTTGACAAGAAAGAACAGGGCAGGTCAAATCTATGCCTATGTACGAACACACGGGGCAGATTGCTAACGTCAACACCCCAAATATCCGTACCATCACAGAAGAATCTCTCTTGCACTGTTAAGTTTTCATCTTTTTTGTTGCACATGAATGATACGAACAGTAACCACATATATTATAGGAACGCTAACCCCACTTTTTTTTCTCATCCTAAAAACTCTACATATACAGCAACATCAATGTAGGTAACTCGCCAACGATAAAATTGTCCCTTTTTTAATTTCCTAACAATTCTATCCTCGGAACGAATACTTTATTTATTGTTTCGAATAAATTACGGACAAAACTAGCTACATAAATACATCAGTTCCTCTGTCTAGCTAACTACAATAGGACGGCAAGGAATAGTGAAGGAAAGACGCTAGCTAAGAGTTAGATGCTATATTCACAGGCCTAGAAAGCGAGAGAAGACATTTAGAATAGAATAGAATAGATGACAACAAGAGTCTATCATTGCAATGACATTTCGAACTTCCGTATCTACTAAGTTCGGCGGAAAATATACAAATTCTCCGTATAAATATCCACTGGGTTTATACTGTCAATCAACATTTCATTGGGCATATGGACATGACTTTCAAAAATTTGTTCACAGATTTGGTAGCTTGAATTTTCAACACCGGTGTGTGAGAATTAGTTATGATTCTGATCGTCATTTTGGGGGATTGATAAGGAAGGTATTTTCCTATCGGAAGTGTGTGTCATGTTTTTCCATTGCCCGAACCCAGAGGTTACAAATGTGTGAGTTTGGGCGCACTGTTTAAACGATTTCCCTGAGTTTGGACGTTCACACAGTAGTTCATATTGACCACGGACATTGGGGTGGCGTACTGGTGATGAGGTAGCTCGGTGTGGTGTGGCGGACACTCCGGGTACGAGTTCGTCAGGCCGTGGTGACCTGGCCCGGGGCCCGTCGGAGAGGGTCCCGGCGCGGGAGGGGTGTACTGCCGCTGGTTCACTACCTCGAGAGGGGAGGCGGGGAGCCCGTTGGTCATGTGTGGGGGGCCCTGGCGGGGGTGGGGGACGTGGTTCCCCATGGGGACGGGATGAGGGGCTGATGTAGGCGGACAGGGAGAGTGGTTCGACTGGTAACATTGCGGAGACACGGGTCCCGACATGGTGAGCCCCACACTGTGTGGTGGAGCCTGGTGAGGTAGACTGTGGTTCAGATGTGGCGGGGGGTACTGACTGTAGGACGGCTGAGTCTGTTGTAACGACCCCATCATGCTCATGTGGTTGGACATGTTGTTACCCTGACTCAAGCTCGGCTGGGTGGTAGGGTGAGGCAGAGGCCCGGGGTTCACGCCGGGAGGAGTCGTGGTGACCGGCGGGGAGGGACTGTTCATGCCCCCGCTACCTCCCCCACTACCCCCGCCCTTCACTTTCTGTTCCTTCTTATACTTCATCCGGCGGTTCTGGAACCAGATCTTGATCTGCCGCTCCGTGAGGTTTAGCATGGCCGCCATCTCCACCCGCCGAGGCCGGCACAGGTACCGGTTGAAGTGGAACTCCTTCTCCAACTCCACGAGCTGGGCGCTGGTGTAGGCCGTGCGGGCTCTCTTCCCCGCCGCGCCGCCTAGCCCCGGGGACTCCCCGGCCTCTGTCGTGCTACCAACTGCGAACCGGGAAGAAAAAACATCCACATTTAGTGACCTCCACAACAAGCATGCCCCGCTTCACAGCGAGAACACCCGCCCCACATCATCGATCAAAACCCTTCAACCCGCTAACTCGATGTCACCTTACAAAACCTCCCCTATGCTAACCCTCAAAAACCACGCTAAAAATCTACCCCACAACCCTTACTATCAACCACACAAGCTTTATTCGTGTTCGCTAAGTTTTTGTTCGTGTTGTATCGTACTACAGCGCTGTGGAGAAGTTGAAATTTGGCGGGCCTATCACGGAAGTCAGGTCTCCCCCAGTTGATTTATGAGGTGGCTGTCAACTCCTAATACTTGGCTGACGTTGTACGTTGAACAATTTGTCAACTTAGCCTAGAAGAGGGACTGCTACTAATCATGGCGTAATCGTCCCATGAACTCGGCCATATCATTGGGTAGCTCTATAAAATTCATCTAATGTTATTAATAATGAAAACAGAACTTTACAAGGGCAGCGTGCGAAACGCCTGACTGTGCCCAGCGGCAGAATTTGAACAGATGTAGCGACAAGGCGTTTGATAGAACAGCTAGCGATTCTTCATCGTGTGTGATGTATCTTTTCGACTCTACAGTCACTTCGCAGAGCGTGGCTGCTTCAATTTATTCTCTCACTGCCAATAAATTTGTGCTGTCAGCGTACCTGATAGATTGGTCGGCTGGCGTTGTTTCGAATTTTGGCGGGATTCCTTCATCCATGGATAGATCTTAGTGTTAGCTAGGATGGCAGCGTTGGAGACGGACTGAGGAGCGGTGCCGTGGTTGTTGTCGGCGGGGTTTGTCTTCATGCAGGTCGGGCTAACGTTGCCCGGCCCGCTGCCCGGTCCACTGGCCGGCTTCCGTACGGAACATGACGGGCCGAACTCCTGTGTAGCCTCGGTGCCATAGCTGCCTCCACCGCCGCCTCCACTCCCCTCATAGCCATACCTCTCCCCATTACTATAGCTGTAGCCGTTGTAAAGTTGTTGCGATGTTGTTTCGTAGTAAGGTGATTTTTGCATCTCGTTGTTTTGTAGAAATTTATTTCTTTGTGACAAGGTCTTGACACTCTTATCAAATAACATTGGCACCCCGGCGTCACATGACCGTTCTTGACCAATAGCAGTCCTGGAAAACACAGAAAGGTTAAAAAGTAAGTGACAATATAATAACCTCTAGATGTATCGCAGTACACAGTTCTTGACTTTTGTGTCATCAATTATTCAAGAAAACACCCCCTTAAGAGCATTGCATAAAATATGTGTCATCATTTAAGGACTTAAAAAATGGCATCAACGAAATAAAAAGACACAATAGATATTCGACCATCAAAAATATTTATCAACAAAATTAACACACTAAAGGTGAAAATTGCGGGGAAAATAACTTTAAAAGTTGTACGAGTTTTTGAGAAATGTGTGTGTGAAAGTTGGGTGTTATTTTATGTTCCAGGCATGCCATATTAGATCTAGGACCTAAGCACGGCTCAATTCAACTGAAACAAGAGAGGACATGGTATTCTTCCCCCATACTAACATAATCCTGATTTTAACTCACGTCCTTTCCGTCAATTTACCCTGGCCGCTTTACTTCATAAAAACTTCTGATACCCAACGAGGGTCACGGCCCACCGTAATAGCAAACTACTCCCCAAAAGACCTCTCTCCCAGCCGTCTCTAATTCCTATTTATTTAGCTTGGCGTGCATGCTCTCTCTGATAACCACCACAAATCTACCATCATCTCGCTTGAGGTTTACTTGATATGCTGTCTCATCTTTTTTTCCTGGCAGACTCATCTCTCTGGGAAATTCTCTTTATGTTTACCACGGCTTTGGAGTTTTTGATATCTATCTGTATCCCCAAAGCATCTGGGTGGATCTACCTAGGAGGTTTAGGAGATGCAGGTTGGCATCCTTCCTACAGAGTACCTAGTCATCTGTCTGACTGAACGCTGGAGATATATCGATAAGGGCGGATAGAGTCCCCCTCTGTAATCCTATTTACGAAAGTCTTTGATATGGACTCGTTCAAAACATAATATGAATACAAAATAAGCTGGCAGTCAGATGTTGGGGGAGATATTACGTCTCTGTTACGTTACCTGCAGCTAAGTTTGGAGCATGGGGACGTGTGGGGAGAGGCAGAGCGGGGAGTGACAATAGATGAAGAGAAGAAACAAAAATGCATGGCAGGGAGGCATGTGAAACTGACACACGAAATTGATGTCCTGTGAGGAGCGGGTCTCTGCCAGGAAAAATGACAGCTGTAACGGATAAATGACAGACGGAAATCTGCAGAAGTCTGTCTTCACCAGGCCCGCACCTTTAATTACTTTTGCTTGGCCTCTCTAGCGATGGAGTTACAAACCATCGACGGATGTTATGGCAAAACATAATGGGACGGGGGCAAGGTTTCAGACACAACAACTTGTGATGCCTTTCGGAGGAGGGGAAAAACGACACCGAAGTGAAACAAAGAATACACAGCCAGAGAAACCCCTGTCAAACCTGGTTAGGAGATGGCCTCACGTCAGAAGATACTCTTGTCAACTAAATTATTAATTGGAACTTCTCTCTTTGATCAATGAGCGCGGGTAGGGAGAAGTAAGGATATCATATAAGTTTCTCTCGTATGAGGTGTAAATTCGATTGGATAGGAGTGAAACATATCAGGCTAGAGTGCAAGCTTTAATCCTACTGAGGAAACCAAGGCTTTCAACACTTCTGTAGTAGTAGGGAACACGCGGATTTCCTCTTACAAATAAAGCTAAAAATAAAAGAAAGGAAAAACTTCCCGCGTGGTATAATTGACAGCCCGCGAGGGGGAACAAACTGACATGTGTCAAAAATGAAATGAAGAAGTGATATTGGCAGCCGGGCTGGGTGTTTTCGTGCGCGGCACCTGGCAAAAATCTGGCCCAGAAATGGAGCTGTGGGCCCGTTAGGACTCTAATAATTATTTATACAGATTTCTTTTTACAAACGAAATAACGACCCCCGGACTAACTTTTGGGAAAGTCTTTCCTGACAGTGATTTGGGATGATATACAGAAGGGTTATGATGTGAGAAATGACGGCTAGATGCGAAGGGTGTCACGTAAGAGACAGAAACCGTGTGTTTTGTGATGACAGATTGGGTGACAGCAAGCGGCGAGCCCTTTGAGTGAACAGACCTCGCTCTGTGGGTGCCGCCTGTCAAAAAAAATGGCCCACTAACTGAATTTCTCCCAATCAACCACCCGTCCTGGATCTACTAAAATCGATCCAGGAAAAAAGATCAGACTTGATAATTTATTTCTCCAACAGAAGATGAAATTATCTCACAATTTGTGAAACAAAAAAAAAAAGCTTGAAGTGCATTCGGCACAACTTGACGTTTCAATCAAACAGTCAGATGAAACAGAGCGCACAAATTTGCACTTAAAACGCCATCTGCCCAACTTTGTGTATGCGCAAATATACGCTGACTTGTAACAGCGGCGCACGTTTGCACCAGGGCTAGGCCATACATACATGCCTCACACATAATTTCACGTCCACAAAACGCTGGTAATAACCATGGAAATTAAAAATTTGGGGCAGGCCTCTTGACAATGTAGAGAGCAGCGTTCTTGCTTTTTAATAATTCGGAGCACTTGCTCCACGCTACTGAGGGAATACGCAAAGTTCAAATGTTACCTTTAATAAGCTTCCTCCCATAGCTTGCTAGCTACTCAGGAGGCTCGCATCGACTTCTGAACTTTTGATATTATTAAATCGACGGCAAACGGGGCGAGGTACGCTCTACCCCGGGCATTGCAATCTCCGGCAAGGAAGAATACAACACAGGCGTCCGACTTGGATATTCACTTCTACAAAAGCACTGGGAACAAAGGATTTCTCCAGTGTGCCTGGATCTTTCAATCACATTAAGGTCGGATCGATACCGAGCTATGGGACAAGCTTCCCTCGCCACTTTAAGCAATGAAGGGCTGCGGGAAAAAGCGTGATAGCAATCGTTGATAGTCATGGGGCATCAGGGTGAAAATAGCAGACCAAGGGGAGACACTGGGAATTGACATGGTGTTTTGACCAGGGTACAGTATTTGCCGTTCAAACAAGCAACGTTTTTTTCGGTTGTCTTCTAAATACAGGTGACCCGTATCTACCAACCACGGGGGTTCACTCAAATGTCACACTGCCAAACACAAAATTAAAACTTCCACAGATATCGATTTTATTCCCCCATTTACCTCTTTCACCATTTTGCCGAGCTAAGCTACGGTTTTAAATACGTTCTATCCCATCCCTTTAGGAACGATTATTGTTATTTCAATCTACAATTTTATTCGATTGAAGAAAAGGAAAGAAAGGTCGTAAAACGGTCCTGAAATCTCACTCCATTGGAGAGTTGGACCGTATCAATAAAAATGAATTTATCGGACTGAGTCACCTCTGAGCGACCTCTGACGAGATTGGGCCTAATTGAAATCAACCCGATTAATCTCGGCGCAACTTATTTCACAAACAACAGTCAGAGGAAGGACAGGGCAGATATGAGTCAAACGCCAGGTAATACCGGCATTAGAGTCAGGCCGAGATTGAACGAGTTTTCAGTGGATAAGGCTGTTAGAGGACCTACCCAATTTAATATCAGGCTTTCTATTCCAGCCATCAATGCGGAGGGCGGTAATAAGAGGGTACGGTTGACAGGCAAAACTGTGGCTTCTGATTGCAACTGTGGCAACAACACGGCTAAAAAGTGTGTCGTTACAGATAGAACGTTTTCCAGGGCACCTTGGTAGTTACAGGAAGGACACGCACACAGAATAACAACCCACTTCACCTAAATACAGCTCCAGAAAAATACTCCTTTGTTCAGATAAACTGACGTTAATATAAGAGTAGTTTTCATGCTAAACAAAGCGAACAAAGCTTCAAGAGAAGTTGCGTCGGTCCTTTATTTTTATATTCGAACTCTAATTCAGGGAAGGTCAATATATCAAGTTTGAGCGGTGTTACGTAACATTGAAAACAAATGACGGCCTTTTGTCTCAGTGAAATAAAACTTCTGGATTCAGCAAATCAGACGTATCATTACCACATAACCCCGCGATGAACCCAGGGAAATCGCTTGGGGTCAATTTCTATGCTTCAGCGGGCCTTGTAGTCGAAAACAAGCTCGGAGAGGCAGTGGCTCTCTGTATGACTATACCCCTATCCGCAAGTCTGGCGGCGGACAATAGACGGGAAAATACTATCCGCTATTGACGGTTTGTAGCCCTGGTAACGTCATTGGTGAAAAAGGTTTCTTTCTGCACTGGTCTTTTCAACTGGCGGGGTCACCCAGAGGACAGGATTCAGGCGGTACAGCGAGAACAATAGCCGGGGAGTGTTGTAGCCCCAGGTGGGGGGAGGTTACTGGAAGGTTACCCACTCACACACACAACAGTCTGTGCAACAACGTTTTAGCACAAGCCTTAGAAATATCGAGCCTGCGCTAGAATGGAAATAACGGAACGCATCAAAATGGAAATTGGTTGGGATCTTGCCATGCGCAAAGGGAAAAGCAAGCTCCGCGGCGTAAAATGTCCGCATCTCCCCAGACAAAACCAGGACATTTCATACAAGTTTCTGCTTGACTGGGAAAGCGGAGTTTTGATTAGATTTGAGGTGATAATAAAGTTCAAACTGAAGCGAGAGACACGCCAAGAAAATGTCACACAAATACACAAAATCCTACTAAACCAGAATACACAAAACTCATCAAAACTACTGAAGTTTCCGTGAGTTAATTCCACTGATATGTAGTTCATATTTCAATCAGATCTCACTTTCTGGAAAAAACATATAACTGGAGGAAACCAAGAAAGAAATAAGAACAATTTTAATGGGAATCATAATATCGGAACTGTGATAGGGCGGCCGCCATCTTGATTCGAGGAAACTCAAACTTTTGATGATAAATGGCTATGTGGATCAGATGTATTATTTTAAAAATTAGGACATAACTGTTTTCTTTGATATCTTAGACTAGAAATAATCTACTTCGGAATGTCTCATGCACCTTGAGTAGATTGTCAAGGCCAGACCGGAGGCTAAGAGGCCATGGCCTTTCTACAGCAAAATCCGAAAGACCTCGAAAAGGATTCCAAAGGATATGTGACTAAACCGTATCCAACATGGAGACTGAAAGAGAACCCAAACACATAAATGGCTCACAAGGACGCGTCCTTGAATCACTGAAACCAATTAAAGAGCTCAAAACAAAGGTAATGAACCAAAATAAAAGGCTACATTACTTGAGGTCTGGAGACGAAGGGAGAGAACCTTGTGTGGCGAACTTGTCGGTGAAACTGACTTGGCTATTTTTATTATTCATAGAAAAACACGGCAGTTGAAAGGGACGGAGTGATTGAGAAGGGAAGCCTTACAGAATTTTACAAGTACTTACGAATCGCTGCACAATGCACTTGCTAATTAATGCGTTTAGCGAACAATTGGGAAGTACCTAAAGTTATGTAAGTCAATACACAAGCGCCTGGTTTGAAGTTTGTTACGCCACAAACAAGAGAACAAACGAACAAAAAAATATGCAAACACATCTCTGAAAAAAAAAATGGGTGTAAAAATTGAGGGCAAATTTTGAAAACGGATGGATAAATAACGAGAAACGGTTCACTGATGGAGCAGAAATTGATTACATCAAAAACTTTTCACTGTGATATTATGTAAATATTGTTCTACAACTACCAGGACGGCTGGGTGCAGAGAAAATGGAATATAGAAGAGAAAAACTGAGAGTTAAAAACTTGACTGCGGGGTCAGAGAGAGGTAAAGTCGGAAACCTGTCAGGACAGACAATACAGAAAGACGGGATAGCGACAAAGCGAATCCTGCCGCCAGACGGTAAATATTTGTACCCAACAGAAGTAGAAAAAACCCCGCAGGTAAGAAGAGGAAAGTTTACCCCTGAGTCCTGCCATGGTTGTGAAGGGACGCGGGACAGCGGACAAAACCAGCCCGGGAGGTACGGTGTGCAGACCGGCGGCCATTTTGAGTTACTGTGCCTAACACGGCGGGGCTGCCTGCACGGGGGCCGCCGGGACAAGATTGATTATCCCCCGGCCTGACCCTGTCAAAGCCCCGAAATACATCTTCTGACAGCCGAGGGGGCCACACATTTCACACACGGACCCCGTTTGGTCTGATTCTGGGGTCAGAAATGTTGTGAAGGGCTTAGTTAGAAAGAGCGAGAGCGAAGTGCCATAACAGGCTAACCAGTGACCAGTCCGGACCAGTGTTATGGTTCACAGAGTTACCGATTTTAAACATACACACAAAACAACTCAAACGAAATATACCCCGCACACTACTTGATAAGTGTTCAAAGGTCACTTTTGTAGTCTAAAAGTGGCTCGGCAATGTTTACAAGGGAGTTGGGGAAGTGTTTTTAGAAGAGGGGGGAAGCCCGGGCGTGTAGATTATAATGGGATCGTGAAGGGAGAAACCGCGGGTCATAAATCTTACGGACGACATGTAATTGCGCGGTCCATTCATAGGCGCTGTCACACACACGCGCTGACTGCTGCCTACATCGCACTAACGTTTCCACTCAGAAATCTACTACATTTCTACAACAGGCGGCTAGTTTACGGTGAAATGTAGCCGTGGTTGTGTCGAGAGTGTTTCTAGAGACCGGAGGGCGGTGTTATTGTGTACGGACAGGCCTGCTGTACTGCATCGGATCTCTGCATAATGAGCTGTGGTGGGATAGAAGGAAGGGAGGGCGCCACAACGCCACACAGGCAGAGCAGGTAAATTGCACCAGGCATGCTACTACGGTATCTCAGTGGCGGTAGGTTGCACGTCAATCTAGAGTTCGTTAGAAAAATACGTTCCGATTGCGTACTTGTGGTGGGCGGGGTCTCTGAGACGACCAAATTTTCACCACTAGTTTTCTGTAGGGATTTTTATCTTTCTAGATACAATTACGGCTTCTAAGACTACGGGAATCCGCGCCTGGCTAGCGTTACCCAGCCAGGCTTATTTATCCTTGAGGTTTTACGCTGAGTAGTTTACAACCAGCGGAACTGAAACCATGCACCTGCTTGTGGGGTGTGTCATCCACACAGAGCCGAATGTTTTCCCTTAAACTTTGCTACCAACAAATCTCCGCAACGGATGCCTGAAATTCCTTCACAAATTCTCCCCATTTTCAATATTGGCTTCGTCCACGAAGAAAAAAAACTTTCCTAACGCCCCCCTCCCCCATAAAACTTACGCTTATCATACTAACTTCCTGGGATGCCTCGAAGGTAGAGCTTCTGTCAGAAAAGATGCCGACAAGTCGGGTAGGAATGGGGAGGGACATTCCACAAGTATAAACAAACGGAAGGCGAGAACTTTCAACTGAAAATTGGCGCCAGGGGCTGGTCAACTCTTTCTATGTTTAGACCTCGACTTGGAAGGAGTGTTTGAGAAAAGTCTGGGTTGAAAATTCTCGCAAATACTCGCTAAAACTCATTTTTCTTCTCCCTAAACCAACTTTTTAATATTTCAAGAGTTGTAACTCTAGCCGGCCGAAATTAGGAAGTCGTGCGTGTATCTTGGAATAATTATTCAACAGTCCCAACAAGGGATTTACAATTTTCATATGTTAAATCATGAAGCAGGTTTTAAAAATGCTTTGTGTGCAATACACACGTTTGAAACTTTGTTGAAAAACGCGATTTTCGGTCATAACAAGTTATTTCGTGAACTCTCAAAAGTTGAACTGAAAATGGCACTCGTGCGCTAATTCATTAATTCTATGGGTTCACAAAGGTTCACACAGACATATAGAATACGTTTGTTTCCGTTCTAAAAAGAATGAATTGATACCTAGTGCTCCTTCGCACAAAAAAGGGGGAGGGCAACAAATTAAGTAACAAGTTCTACAAGCAAAAGGTCTCCGTCCCACAGATGGAAAGAGCCAAGTGATTTATTCTCCACATTTGTCAAGAAATTTCACACTGACTCCTGTCTGTCTGCGATCCTATCGTGGTTCCTTTGAGTGTCAGTTTCCCCCCTCCAGAAATAGATTCTACTAAATGGACACAACTATTTTTTTTCGGAAAGTTTTTTTGGAGTTGTTTGTTCTTACCTCAAGAAGGGTTGGAGTCAGGCGTCCCCCATATGTGTCGGCGGACGGGGAAGACGAAATCGTCTGAGGTCCGGAGTAGCTGCACCCCTGGCCGCTGGTTCTGTGTAAAAAGGTCAAAAGAATCAGTTTCACGAACGCTTTCAAACCGACACACAGCTCGTGAAATCCACACAAATTTATGATTCGTTTACAAACTGATTAAATGGCCTGGCCTGTTCATTTCGTTGATTAAAGCAATAAATTACCCCCTCGTAGGTCCGAGAGGGGCTGTTTCAATTGGCATGGAAAACCGTGTGCTGTATAAAACCTTTGCTCATTGGTCAAGCAAAATTTTATTACCAAGGGACTTACAAAATCCGGACAAAGAAAGCATGGTTGTAATTCATGTAGAAACATGGTCTCTATTGTCTCCCAAAATTTCCTCAAGTTTCTGAACTGCGTTTGACCTTTTCTGTGTATTGTTTTTTCAGTGGTAAAAAAATATAAAGATAAAAAAGAAAGTTCTTTCAATTCAAACATTTTCTTCTAACAACAATATTTTTATTCTAAGATACACCATTGGTCATTTCTACACAACAGGAACGTAGAAATTACTCTCTTTCAAACGAATACATATCTTAAATTACCCCAATCACGTAAAAAAAATTAAAATCATTTCCACTGTATTTAAACGTTGAATAGTAACGCAACGAATATTGTGGAACACGGAGAGAATCACCACAGTTTACCATACCACGCGACTCTACTATAGAAGTACACACTCATTCAAGTCAAGAAACTGTCACAACAAATGATGCCCTCCCTTACACATCCGCACAAATTCACCCCCACTCCTTGGTTCAAACCCGAATCGACCTCTCTTTCCCCCCAATCTTGTAGCAATATTAGTTTCAGATCAGAGTGAAAGGATAGAGCCCACTATCACGTTCTTACGACACAAGTTCTCCCCTTTTTTTTAAAGAAGCTCTGTATAGAGTCGTAGACGGGTCGTAACATTGTCTGTTTGTGGGGTGACTAGGGCATCGGAGTGACTCCCAACCCATTAATCAAGTCCTGCAGTCATACCTTCACCATGTGAGCTTTGTTTACGTGTGCTTTCGGCATTGGGAATCTATGTACAACTTCAACCCAACTAACAAGCGACTGAATTAAAAATACGCAAAAATTAGGAATAAAAAATGGTAAAACGTTGAATAGAAATCTTTGTAAAACGACACATTTAATTATTGTTTTCAACATCAGCATAATTTTTTCTGTTATATTGGATTGTTCTGATCTTGTATACGAGTGGGGATAGGATGTATACAAATTGGTATAATAATCAAATCGTACATGTTATGATTATCAGAAATATGGGATAAAATATTATGACATCATGGGAGATAATCCGTAGAGTTAGCGGATTGACAAGCGGGTTATTTGTAATAATTGGAACGTTGGTGATCCTGCTGTTTCTACTGCGCTTCTCGCTTGTCAGATCAATTTATTATACTTAGTTCCTTTCCCCTCCTCATTTATCATCCAAACTTTAACAGTTAACTCTCAGCAATTCAGACATCGGCGTAACAGAGTTCATACCTATTCATTGTTTCTGAGAAAAAAGAAATAGAAAATTTTCGATCGCAAAATTTGTTTGGTAGTGTCAAAATTTCCAAGTTGAAATCTGTGAACTAACACAGTATCAAATCCTCCGCAACCGTTGTTCCCAATTTTTATATAAATACTAGCGACGTAAAATCGTTGAAAACAAAATACATATGACAGTCTTGGGCCTTTTTGTCAGGAAATAAACGCAGAATAAATTTGTGTGCCCTTTTCGCCCACTCTTGAGTTCTTTTAACCCGAAACCCTCCATTTCACGTACTTGACTTTCTCCACGTTTCACAGTTTTGACAAGTCGTTTCCGTTTGTGGTTTGTCAGCCAGTTGGAGAAATTAAACAACGCTGAATGTTCGCCCTATTAGAACACCACCCCATCATACGGTAGAACAAGGAGCTTGACAGGGGCAAAGTTGTTGTGTGCGCCGATTTATCATCCAATTCTGTCCGCTGAACACTATTTAGCACACCAAAGGCATCGCATCGTCTCCACCGCCTAACAACATCGAACCCGACATATCAAACTTGACAAAATAATCATCCCATTTCTGATTGCGGCATATTATCCCGGTCGCTTCGTTACGACGAGGTTAGGGGAAGCAAAATCTGACAGCAGTGTTTTTTTGATCTCCGAATATAACAAACCAACTGTCGAGCCACAAGATGGATGTTCGAAAATTCCCCGCAAATAAGGCACCAGGGTTTTGAATCGGGGGGAGGAATTGTCTAGTTTGATACGTCGTCTAACCCTCTGATTCCATGTCATCTATGTCTCTACAGGAAAAGAGATCTGTGGACTGAACTGGTGGATATAAAACTTGGAAGTTGAGGAAGAGAATGTAGGAAGATAACAAATGCACCGACGCCAGGATATGTCTCACCACCACCACAACAATACTACATTCTATTGTATTCCTATCTGTTAATTATAGTGTAGATTTCAATCAAACCCCGATACAGTAACCGCACGGGTTTACTGCTTTCCTAAACGTGTTTGCGGCGGTAATTTTGGAGAAATAAAATAGATGATTACGATCCCATCTTTGGTAATGAGCATTTATCGCCTAGAGAGTGCACAGACGGCCAGCTAGAAAACACACATATCGACCCGCTTTGCGCAGCAAAATTGGGAATAAACGATTTTCGTAAGACCCACACTACTTCCTAGCTAAACCCTATCGATCATTACTGGTTAATTTCTGCACCTAAGGATTTCAATAAAACCAACAACTGTTCAAGCTTTGAGTACTTTCAATTAAACGAGCAGCATTTGCTGTCACAACGTGAATTATTTGTCTGTGTCATTTCTACATATCAATTTTCGCTTGTACCCGTGTTTTAAAGACTTTAGGTACTAGATATTACAGCCGTTTTTCGGCTGTATCTTTGTATAAGGAGTGTGAAGTAGAAATTAGCGTGAATTGAGGAATGAGGGGACGGTAAGGGAAGTCACAAGCAGGCGCCGAATCTGACGCCTCGCTACGGTGAACTTTCCACGACCCGGTCATCGCTACACTCCAACAGATTCCAGCACAGAAAGGGAACTGTCACCTCCATGATCTATGAGTCGCTTTACCTCCAACTCCTTATTGAATAGATTGTCTGTGTGGCAGATAGAGCAGAGGAAATATGCGGCGGAGATATGTAAAGATGCAAACTTGTCAGGATTCGATAACTCCGGATTACTAGACGGTGGGCACGGTTTACCGCGCAGAAAAACACAACTCAACCTCGAAATGAACTATTTTTCAAAAGGTCTCCAGTTCACAGCTATAAGAGCACGCTTGTACCTCCTTAGTACGACCTTCTAGAAGACTGGGAGTGGGGTATAGTTGTCGTGTGCTCAGTTGGACGGGTGTTAAGTGCGGTAGTTCGAGTTGAGGGTAGAAACAATTTGTCACAAAATGTCGGAACGAGACATTATTTATCATGGAAGCAATCTTGGATGTCATGCTTACACAAGAATGTACGAAATCATCAGAGAATACTCTTCAACCGGTTTGTTTTTAAATAGAAAAGAGGGATGGTGAGAAGTTGGGAGTTTGAAATTGGTGAGTTGGAGTGATAAGGGGAAGAAAAATGTGAGGAAAAGTCGGTGCGTGCCCCTAGGTTGACCCCGGAGTCAGTGAAGCGATCGCACTCCATTCATCGCGGAATCGGACGACATTTCGCCAACCCGTTCCCTCAGAAAATCGAATTTACCTCGGCGGTAGCCATTTCACAAGTCTTTCCTAACGTCCCAACACAAGCCGCCGGTTTGACAACTGTCAGCACCGCAGACCCATCAGTTAGAAATGAAAGAAGCCGAACTGACGACGGCAAAACCGGGGACGCAATAAACTCATATATCATGTTGTGTTCACGTGGTTTTGACAATTCTTTCACCCCTCTCCGAGCCATTTCTCTGGGACGCGCAATAAACATGTTATTAGCCAGCCCGGGTACAAGTCCGCTTGTTGGTTGAACCTAGGAGTTGGGACATTGGGATGACGTTTTGAGGGTAAAGTGACAAGATGTGACGTTAAAACAAGAGAGGATGTCGGCAGCGGGGTTTAGGAGTCATGATGGCGGAGGTTTTTGCGCCCCCGAACCGACCAGTAGCTTCATTATCCCGCCGCTCGGGCCTCCAGGACGGAAACCGGTCCCACAACGGCACACAAGAGGTCGCTCCCAGGTCAGTAGAAATCGAAATAACACAATTTAGCCAGGAGGTGGAGAAAGGAAAGAGAAAACTCAACGGGACCAACCTTCGGCATTACCGGGAAAGATTCACGGGGACGGGTCATAAGGCCATGGTGGGATTTGGTGGAAGGTAGTGTAGACTGACACACAGAAACGGCCGTTGTTTTGGGCCCGGGGGCCCGTCCGGTTAAAAACACCCACACAACGCTCGCAGCTATGCGCTGCCCTCTGGTTGAACTCTCTCTACAATGGTACACTGACTCTCCCAATCAACAACAAACTTTCCAAACTCTAACGTCTGTCTTAACTTGTATTCAGCTGAAGTTATGTTAGCTGTTTGTTAGGATTAGTTAGTCAAGAAAGTACCACACATGGTTACCTTACTAGTCAGGGCATCCCGTATCCAAAACAGTCGTACAAAATTGCGTGGATCTTTCGGAAAAATATAAACGTACTTCCCTAAACCTTTCAGCTAATCCGAAATGCCATCTCTCTCAGCTAAACAAATAAAACATTTCCAGCGCTTGAATCCAAGGCCGTCGTTTGTGTTTTTCTGTGTGAAGTTGAGTTGGCGTCTGTCTGGTTGTAATGATGGTAGTACACACACTAGGGGAACAATACTATCCTGACTCGTGTATGCAAATCGTTGTTGTTTTTGGCTCTTTGAATTTTTATTCATCCCTTGAGTGGATAACTCCAGCACCTGCGAGGCTGTGCCTTATCTCACTAATGCCCTAAGAAGGCAGAAGGACGAAATAATTAGCTATATTTCAGGGGTTTCTTCTCCAAATCCGGCAGACTTCCAGAGAGATTTGAAACCGGATGACTAGAATTATCACCGCTCGAACTAGACACAAACAAATACGGAGAAGTACCAGAGGATTGCTTTTCAAAAACAACAGATGTTCTCTCCCACTTTCTAGCTGATAATCACCCACTCATAGTCAAGTTTACCTTCATTGTTACCCCAGTGTTTTACAGAGAGACACCGGTCTCATGCTAGCTACCTAACTAGCTCTTGTCAAATAGTGAGAGAGGGGCTATTTTTCACGGCTGTGCGTCTATTGTGTGACGTGTCCCGCACACACGCACCCCAATCTTAGGATTTGTACATAATCTTGACATTGAGCCCAGGGTTCTTACCGCTATTGTTAGGTGCTAAAATGGTCATGTAGCCATGACAGTCCGTTAGCCTGCCGTTTTCTCCAACAATAGCAAGGGAATAGAAACGACTTAAAAGGTTGAAAAGGCAGGAAAAGGCACTCTGGCGACGCTTTAAAAGGGGTTGCAGCGTATGAGCCACGTTTGGGAATACTTCAGGAATCGGAAACAGGAGATTTGTAGACTTTAAAAGGGAGCACTCACTTCTTGAGTTGACTTTGCAACAAACATGGCTGCCCCGACCTTTTGTGAGACTAGAGGTCAAAGGACAAATATCCTCTTTCAACAATTGGACGTCTTGTCAGTAGGCAGCTGAGGACCAACCTTGGGCGCGAAGAAGCCGAGAGATAAAAACGTAAACACACTACCATCGGGTTTCTAATCTTCACCTCGGATTAACACACGGCCTTGGCAACATTTCGTTCCATTCCCAGTTAAGGTTTCATCTTAATTAAACCAGGCTAGCGCCTGTATGACAGATAGGGAACACGTTTTGTGTACGAGTGTAGCACTACAGTGATGAAAAATTGGAGAGTGACAACGTTTTAAAAGCTCTACACACTTAATAACGTCACAAAAACACCCTCACTAGTTCAACTTTGACACGAAGTACAGTGTATGTGTATACAGCTTTTAAAAGCACAACGATTGCAGTTTTAAACTTCGAAATACAGAGGGCAGCGTTTTGGGTGAGTTCAACAAAAAAAAACCCAGTTGATAGGTGAATAGAATACCACAGGACAGCCTCTTGTATTCTTCCCAACAATGGTAGGCATACCGTGTGTAAAATAACACTAAAAACCACTTCTAAGTACAAACGTAGACTGAGCTTGATGTACATAATATACAGCTTATTTTGAAACCAAAAAGGCGAGATTTCTATTAAAAATGATAAAGAAATCGTTGAAGGGGTAATTTCCAAAAAACAAAGCACTAAGCCATGTTTTGACATAGCTGTCTCCAAAACCAAGGTCATATACTGCAAAATCAAAACAAACCGTATATCATGAACAAAACGGTAACAATTAATCTACGCACATAAAATAAATAGCAAATTCTGGCGAAGGGTGTAGATTTATGAGGAGAAATTACGGATATTATCGAAACAATCCATCAAATATTCCTACTAACGCGATGGTGGGAACAAAAATCAAAATAAAGCGATTCCTAAACACAAAACCCTTCAAATAACACCCTTAAAATTGTAGACAAATAATAGATATTAGGTGTATGGAAATATTTCCTATATCTTAGAAAAGAAAGACGTAGTTTTGTATAAATTACTGGTTGTCAAAGCCTTTGAAAGCGTTAGGGTGAGAAAGAGGTCAGACTAGACTGTGGAAATAGACAAGGTTTTCTATCAATTTCCCAACGATTTCAGCGCCACAAATGAGGTTTTTGTGTCAGATTATACTCCTAGGAAATGGGTTGGAATAAGTGTTTTGAAAATTGACACTTTTGGGTATAGAAACGTGGGGAATTGTGTGATACAACCGGCCCAGATGACACGAATTTTGCCTGTATTGTGTGAGTCGGTCTCCCGCTGTCTTTTACACGGCCTTCCAAACACCATGCACCATTTCCAACAAACGAACCAGCTCCAAAATAACACATAAAACCCATAAAAAATAATACACTTGCTTCGGATGAATATGTAGACTTTTTCTGCTACCCTATTCCGCGTTATTCCGTATTCCTGACATAGTTCACCCATATTTACAAGCCCCGAATGAATAAATCCTACATATTGTATAGGCTTCACCCCAGGCTTTTCTGTTCTTAGCTATGATAACATCTTCTCCTTTTTTCTCCCTAATTTTCAGCGTCAAACAAACGGGGAAGAGATTGTATTGTAAGCTGGGGATATCCGTAATATTAATCCGGATTTAATGAAAAAATATCGTAAGTAGTTTTCAGCATCGAGCTCGGCAGAAACGCGGGGAGATAATGAGATCTGTAGGCCCGGGGTCCGTAGATTGCTACAGGGCTGCTTGTCAGAAAGCGAGCTTCACAAAACCACACCGTACCCCGAGAAATATAGATCAGATCCCCGGTGATTTCAACGTACGCGACATATCTAATATCGTCAGAATATTCCATCATCAAATAGCTGAGATACACATCTGTATCGCTGAAGGCTGGTAGAACAATCCAAGCGATGGAAAACAAAAAGACGTGCTCTGCCTCTCCATGCCCGCAAAGCCTAAGTAATATTTTCATATCTCCGCCCGAGAACTAGCCGTCAAACGCCGTCTGCTTTATTTATTTTTCATGTAGCTCGGAGCAAGATAGATCTAGCAGTACATCACGTAAAGACAGGTATTGCTTCATCCTTTTAGTTTGACAGAAAATTTGCCCCTTCTGAGGCAGCCAGGCCGAGCGAACAAAAGAATAGAAGGTCAGCCGCGTGAAATAGAAATTTGGCAATGGATGAATCGCTAACTTCACGTTTCTTTGTACTCAGGCTTTAGAGTAGCGACCGTGGAAACTAACAGACGGAAAGACTGCTACCCAGCTCTTCTAGTCAAAGAAATTTCGTTGACAGCCAACTTGCGGCCGGTGCAGGGACCGGTAGCGATAAGTACGCCGAGCTAAATTGACTTTCTGTCAAATGATCTCTCGTCTGAAGGGAACACTGAAGGGCTCGCGACCCCTTTTTAAAAAGATACACCGCTAAACCTGTTCACTGCGGGGTCATTATGGATGCAAAGTCTCCCCTCCAACAGTCGCCGTAAATTTCATAGCGCTGCAAGTGCAACGTCTCACCGTGATATCATTATGGCGGGGTATTGTTCATGAATTAAGATAATCCAATCAAACGCTCTTCGCGCTTTAGAATGACGGAAAATGGCGTAGAAAGCAGGGTCACCGTTCCCTTTACATACAAGGCCAAGGATTCCAACAGAAGGTCATTTCCAAAGCCTAGCTTGGTTCCAAACAGGGAGCGAGTTCACGGAAAAGTTAGCGCAGAGACGTCCTTGGTGTAAAATTGAATTTGCGATAATACGTCTAGTTTTAACTCTTGATATACTTTGAGAACGGGATATACCGTCTAATGGATTCCAGAAAGCCTTCCGAGCTTCGGAGACCTGGATAAGACCGTAGCTAGCAGTTTGGGTGCATCTGAACTTGTACGAGGGGACTCTCTTTGGAAATAAGGATGAGGAACTTCCTAAACACAACAGAAGAGTGTCTTCAATCATTTTTGATCTGTTGGCTGACAAAGAAGCGTTTGGGACAAGATACAAACTTCGGTCCCCAAACGACAACTTTAAACTTCAACTTCACGACACAAACTTTAGAAACCAAATAACCACAATAGTTTTCTAGTAACCGGTAGAACAGTGTTTCTTAATTATTATTTTGCACAATTTAATAAAATGTATAAAATGTTTTAATATAATAAGAGAGGATAAAATCTGTCGCTTTAAAATTATACAACACACAATATAAACGTAGCAGGAGTTGAAAGCACACAAATTAGTTAAGCAGCGAGGAATATTAGAACAGAAGTGATAGACAGGGGAGTTTCGTGAGGTGAATTTGTTACCATGTGAAGAAGGCGGTTCAAAGCAGTGAAGACACTTAAATTCCGTTCCAGGCGTCTAATATGTTGTGTTATAAGGTTTGGGATTATGGAAGGGTCATGCGGGCTCCAAGGCAATAAATAATTGAAGACATGTTAGCGGCTACATCGCCAAATTTTCCAACCCCGGCAACTCAACTCCCTCGGTACATCTCCCTTGACTTCCTGTATAACGAACTCGCTTTCATAAACCAAGAACAATCTAAAAAAACCCTCCTAACTCAATTGTAATGAAATCCGTCGGAAAATATTAGCTGGAGGCGAGGGTCGGGCGGGAAAACGTGCGATATTTGCGGAGAAAATTAGTCCGTATTGGTTGTCAGAACTGACGAAAGGTTTAGGAGATAATCAACGCGTTAGAGCGCTTCACAGGCGACTGGCTACCACAAACGAAAACTACGTCTCTGTCAATTCCACTTCAGACGTTATGTATATTTCAGAAGGGCCCAAGTTCGGAGCGGAGCCGGGGCGGGGAATCGACGTTTCACGGCGAGTTCGTGACGGATGAAAACAGCTATCAAACTCTGTTGACTCCACCGGCCCGACAACAAACGACTGCCGGGCGACTCCGACACTCCGCTCGGGGCGACCTCGCCACAACATCGTTGAACTCTGAACTTTTTAGGAGATAGTCGGGGAAGCATGGGGGTGATTTGATATATTGCTAGTTGGAGTGTGGCGAAACAATTGAAGGGTATGATAAATGTGAGGTGCAATAACTTGGGTCAGATCCTTGCACGCGTGCAGCGAAACTTAGCGCAAGGTGTCAGCTCGGCACTCTCTCAGCATCTAGTGTTTCCGACACAAGCACATTTATCTTCCGACCCGTCAAGGCCTTCAACCAACCGCCGGCCCGCGCTCTTATCTAGTGCAACCCACTCACCTTTTTTTTGCCCGCCGCGCGACCAACATTGGCGATCAAACGGCCTGGTAGTTTCAGCAGCTTTTTTTTCCTTTGTTGTAGTGGGCAGTGGGGCTCTCTCTCAGTGTCACAGCCGGCTAGAGAGCCCTAATTACTAACCCCTGTCATCCAATACAGACCGGGTCAGAAGAATTCACGTGTCACGTGAGCGGACTAAATTAAATGGACGCAACTTTGTTGACTTGTTGTTGTTTTTGTTTATGATGTAAGAGGAGGGGGGGTCGTTAGAAGTAGGCTGCGGGGGATGGTTGACACGAGA